GAGCCTGGGCAAGCTTTGGTGCTCAATACACGTTCAACATCTGGTATCAGAGCTTAGGTTTTCATTACCTTGCGAAAATCAGATAAAAAATTGGAAGAAATTGGCATTTCCTTCAATTTGATCGGATCTGAAAACATCAAATATTACTCCTAAATCGGACCTCCGTTGGACGAACGGAGGCCAAACCCACGACCACAGGTTGAGGCACCCCCTGTGGTGTGGCATGTGGCGGAGGCGGCAGTAGCGACCGACGGGGCTTGCGGTGGCGTGTGGAGGACCTTCGGCGTGATTTTTGTTGCCATTTCATTTATTTTAGTATTTTGAACGTACTGATTTGTTTGGTTTGGTGTTTCAGGTTGCGCAGGAAAATTTGGACGATTTTGTCCCTGATCTTCAACCTACATTTGTAGCTGATTAGAATTGGCACATTTGCTGAATCTTTAGGGAGAATATTGGTGTCCCTAACGTAGAAAATTCGCATCTCTCCACGTTACGGATTTAGATAGGTCCGCTATAGTGAATTGGCTGAAACCTTTACATTATCGTACTAGCAGATCATCGTGTGGGGTGATAATTAGGATTGAGGGTTGTCATTGCTTGTGTAAGAAATTAGGGTTACTTGAATTGATTGATTGAGCACTTGCCTTTTGGTTAAATCAATATATCGTTCTTAGTGATATAATTGCCGTGAAACTGGTTATTCATACTTTTTTGTTGTATTGTTACTTTCGCAGCTTGTTAATTTCGTTAGAATTACTGAGACCTTAAATTTGAACATTTCCTTATCTAAGATCGTGAGTCTTACGAAACCCTTGAAATCTAGAGTGGTGTATACTGTTTGTGATCCTAGGACTACTTTGTGTAGTTTGATTATATTTTGTGCATTCTTTGGCTGTTTTGTAAAGATAATAACTCACAACTTTGATTTGGGGATTTTTAACGGAAAATGTGATTTTTCAATCTAGCAACAAAAAATGAAGGGTATTTTGGTTCAACAAAAAGTTTCAAAGGCTATCGAATGCAATTTTCTAACTAATTTTTTAAAACAACAAAAGGAAGAAGCCGATGAGCTTGCTTATACCTCAATCATTTTACACCTGTCTGATACTGTTTTGAGAAAAGTCGGAAAACTGAATTCTACAAAACAAATTTGGGAAAAGTTGGAGGACTTATATTTCCTTAAGTCTACTCCAAATAAGCTATTCTTGCTTGAACAATTTTTCAGCTTTAAAATAGATCATTCAAAGGATCTTGATGACAATCTGGATGTCTTTAACAAGTTAGTTCAAGACATCGTTAATTGTGATGAAAAGGTATCTGAAATGTATAAGATTGTTATCTTGCTTAATTTTATGCCTGATTCATATAGGGAAGTTAAAAATGCAATTAAGTACGATATGGACACTTTAACAACCAAGATTGTTATAATCTCACTTAGGAGTAAGAAGATGGAGATTAAGGATGAAAATGAAGATAAGAGGAGTGGTGAGTTATATATGATGATGAGTAAGATGAAATTTAAGCAAATAAATTTGGGTAGAACTCAAGACGTAAATGATTCGAGTACTGACTCAGTGATGAGGGTAGTAGAAGAGGGGCAAGGGATGAGACAAGTCTAGTGGTAGAAGGTATTATAGTTGTGGCAAGTCAAGACACTTTATTAGGGACTGTTCCAAGAAGAAGGATAAGCTGAAGGGTAAGATGAGAGGCGAGGCGAATTTGACTTTAGGGTCGAGTGACAACCATAGTAAGGTTTATTGAGAGTAAACCTAGTTACTGGATGTGCATCTGTTTGTGATCTTTTCTGGGCATGTGTGTGATTGTCTAAATTCTGTTGCATGATTATCAACTACATTTCAATGTGTTTGATATGAGCATTTGTATGAATTTGGGACAATATGATTACTTGGTGTAATTGTTTGCTTGCATAGTGGGTTTAGGATGCATTAGCAATGTGTTTTATGTCTTTTGGTAAGGTGGAATTTAGATGCCTAGGGGTACATTTTGGTTTGTACCGGGGATGTGGAGTGTGACATTTGGATCACGAGTGGAGATGTCATTAAATGTCTAGAATCCTTTATCTGAAAAGAGACCTTGATCAGGTGGAGTGTAAGAGAGGCACTTCTATCACTTCTGTTAGGTGGAGACTCATTATCCACGTAGGTTAGGAGAAGTGATGTGGTGATAAAGGATTGTCCCATAGACTTAGGATCTACTATGACCTACTAGTTAGACATAGGTTGAGTGATCAATCTAGTGAGCATAGTTGGTCAGAGGAGATATGTGTTCTCGAGGTATGAACAACACGAAATGGGATAAGGATAAGTGTGGTGAGATCTTTTGTGGGGTCATTTATGCATTTGTTACATATGTGTTTGATTAAGTTGGTATTAATTCGTGGTTCTGTGTGAACGTGTTTATGAAAAGATCTATGTGTGTTATCCTATAATATATCATCATCGCATGTGTATTTGCTCTTGATTATTTATTGTTCAATATTTGCTTCTACTTGGGTGTTCTTGACCTTAGCTCATATGAGTACATGGAACAAGTATGGTATGTGTTTTCAAGTTGAAAATACGAGGTAAGGTCTGTGATCCAATTTTATTGGCTATCTTGATTATGCAAGTGCTAATTTTGTGTGTTGATTGCTTGCAGATTTATTGGACATCAATGTGGAGATTTGTTGGGTTTTGATATCCAACAAATCCTGAGCTATGATACTACTCGATTTTATTTTTCAGTTGGCTTAACCAAATGACTGAACGGGAATTTAACACCACAATCAAGACGATACGATCCAAAGGTTAATTGGGTCACTCGAATCAACCTATATATTTTAGTGTTGCTCGTGGCCCAATCCACTTCCTTGGATGGCCATAATTGAGATGGATTACTTGTGAGCCCATTTACTTATCTATTGGGCCTCTACTTTGACCCATTTGTTAACCTACCTATACTTACCTTATTTGGGCCATTATTACAAGATAAATAAGTCTCTTTTCTCTCTAAGTGTGAGACGTTTTCTCTGTCTCTCTATTCGGCCGGTCTCTGCGTGATTTCTTCTACTACTTTTTTTGTCTCTTTGTGATTTCTACCTTGGTGGTGATATTATATGAGATATTTTTCACCTTTGTGGTCTCCTAAGTGAACTATCTCATTGGCAACCGGAAGTGCAAGCTTGGTTGTTGTCTTGAGTCGTTGTTGTCGGGTTGTGGTGTTAGAAGTTGGTAGAAATTGAGCCTGGGCAAGCTTTGGTGCTCAATATACGTTCAATAGCCATATTGGGCATGACCTCGGCTAAATTCTTTCCATGTTGTACTCTTTAATTACCATTTTAAGGTAAAGATCCAACTGTTAATGGTCTGGGAGATTGAAGAGGCAACCAGGCTGCTGCAACCTGGAGCTTGTTAATATGAATGGTGGTGGTGTATACTTTATATAGCAAGAACAAAAAATCGAACCTCATTCCTGATATAATTGATATTGGCTTACATGAATCCTTTTTTTTTTTTCCGCTGTATTCAATTCATTGCTACATCTCATGTAAGATCTAAAGTATCTAAATTTGTAGTAACTACAAGATTACATGTTTGCTTACATGAATCCCATTTTTACTAATTTCACTATTATATTGAATTTGCATCATTTTTAATCTATCTATGAATTGACGTGTAAACAAATCCGAATGCAAGATAACATGTTAGTTTCCATTTTTGTTTTTGCTCTCCTCTTGTGACTGTTCTATGGAACTTGCATCACTTTAACAAATAGAGCACTCTTTACACTTGTGATCTTAGAGATATTTTCTATAGCAAAATATGGAACTGGGGCCTTTAATCTTATACAGATACTCCTATTAGACAGTATTCGTGTGGCACTTCAAAAAAGTTTTATACTGCAATATACATTTCAAATTTTTCAGATGAGATTGTTGTAAATCATTTGATGTGCCTTCTTCACTCTGTTACGTACTAAAACTAGAATGACATTATTGATATATGAATAAGTGAAGTATAAATTTTGTAAGCCTAGCATTTTGAGCAAGAGCTACAATGTAATAGATGTAAGCAAGAGTAAGCTAAAACAATATTACTAAATGCTTATTACTGATCCTTGCATCATTGTTGAAACAATGGAATTTATATGGGTGCTTGTTTATTCATCAAATCAAAATTTGACTTGGGAATTAATGTAGAGTGAAGACTTAAATATAGTATTGCAGGTTTCCTTCTCGGTGCTGGAAAGCCATTCCATTCTTTAGTACTTCTTGGCATGATCATCCCACAGGCTTTTTTTGAGGTAATTTTACCTTTGTTACTGCTATTCACAACTAGCTCTGCACTTTGTTATTACTAGAGCTCACATTTTGAACTTCATCCTGACTGCTTAAAAATTGAAGCCATCCCCCGTGATATAAAAGGAAGAACCGAAAAATGCCTTTTATGTAGAGCACACACTATTAAAAATATCATCAACATTTTCCATAATATTATATGTTTACTACTTTACATAACCATTCTATTAGCTGATGGAAGATTTGATTTTATTTTTGCCGAGTTCTGTAGTGTATGATTTTATTGTGTTTGAAATCCCTAGTAAAATTAGGCCTCATTATTTTTGTATCCTTGGCTCTAATGCTCCTATGAATGCCAATTTGGAACTTTAGTTTTGATGAAGAGGTACGAAAATGTTACATATAAAGCTGTGATATGCTTCTGACTCATGAATGTACCATCGCAGTTCAAATACTTTTTCAGAGATCTTTTAAGTATGATGTCAAATATCAAGTACCTTATTTTTCCTTATGCAGCAATAGCCATAATGTCAAATATCCCTCATCCTAGCTATTATTTGAAACTTAAATGAATTGAATATACATTTCTGATATGCATTTTTGGACATTGTATTCTCAGACAATTACAATGAACCAAAGATTTTAGTCTCAAATAAATGATCTTTTTTTGTCTACATATACTCAAGATAGATGCTGTACTATTTCAGGCCAGTGCACAACCATTTCCTATACTTGGTGTTGACCTTGTTTTTGGTTGGGGCCACGCAGACAACAGATACCAGACCCACCGATGCACATGTAAGCTAAATCCAACATGCTAGGATACATGGATGGTCCTGAGCAGTCTAAGAGAGGGCGCGGCAGCAGCTTAAAGGCATGGGACGACAACGTTCAAAATTCGACAATACATTTGTAGAACGATTGTACGATAATTACCTATCGTAAAGGATGAACACTATGTAAACTTAGTTTTGTTTGCATGAGAGTAAAATGGAGTGAATTGTTTTGTATTCAATTTTGCATTCAAAATTTCATAGTCTTACAATGTTGACATGGGGGAGTATTTAAAGTAGTACAAGGTAAATTGTGGCCCTCGGAGTCCCTGGCCCCTTGAAATTGCAAGTTGCCTACTTCAATGCCTTGACGATGAGCTTCTAGTGGTTATTGGAGATCTCCACCTTTTTTGTAAGAGCCACCACCTTGCACTAAGACTCGTAAGCCTCCTTCTTCAAGGCCTCAATTTGGGTTAAGGCACACTCCAGCTTTGCAGCATCCTCAGATTGCTTTGCCTTCAGCTTCAGCTTCACCTTCAGCTTTACCTTCTCGACCTCGAACTTTATTTTCTTCATTTTCTCCCCGACTGTAGCCAACTTGTCCACCGAGGACTTATTCCTTGACTGAATGTTAGCTAGCACAACTTGACATTCAAGGACCACTCTAAAGGCCCTGGCTATTTAGCTAACGAGGGTTGTGGTGAGGTCCACCGTGTCACATGTGGCCATGTGTTTGCCATCGATTGATCCAAAATTTGTAAAAGTTCTCAGTGGCGCTTTGGACCTCAGTCGACAACATCTCCAAAACAGTCAGTGCTATTACTTCATCCTGTCCTCTGAGGAACCTCCCCACATTCCCAACGGTCCTCGCAGGAGGGGCTTTCTTAGGAGTTTTGGAGACCTCCACCACTTCCTTTACAGCCTCTTCTTGCTCCGCCTTCCTTACCATTTCAACCTTCACCGCCTTCATAGCAGAATTCATTAGCTTGGGCAGTAGGGGGTCAGCCTTGTTAGAATGGGACATAGCAGTCCTAAACTTCGCAGTGGAAGAGTTGCTGCTATGTGTCAACTTTCTCCTCTTATGGGGGTCTTCAAAGACTTTCCCATTCCTTTTATCCTTCTTGCCTCCGGCAGATGTGTGACTTGCCTCCTCCTCGAAACCCTTATCAATTTGACCGTTACTGAGGTGCTCCACTTTACTATTCACCTCCTTCGCGGACCCGGAGCTAGGCTTTTGAGCCCTATCCCCTACAATAGCAGTGGCCTTCAATATGGAGGCCATATCTCGAGAGGGGTACTCTCTCTTCTTAAACTTATCTGCAAACATCCAGAGAAGTGTTAAAGGTAGGCAAAAATCATAGAAATAAAAGCAAGTATGAAGATCTTCTACCCTTGGAAGCTATTAACCCAAAATCAATAACATAGCGACTCCTGTTAATGAGATGATCGAAGTATCGAAGCTTGAGAAAACAATTGTAGATGTTCTCAATCATGTCCCACTCCGCTCGTGGAGCTCAAAATGGGATCCTGAATCTGTAAAAGGATACAACAGTTAGCATAAGTTGTGAAAACAAGAAGCGAAGAGCACAAGATAAGATACTCACGTGCTTCGTGGTACCAAGTCGGTACTATGCACACTGAGACTTTGTCCCCTTCAACTGTTTGCCATTTATCCCGTACCCAAAACGAAGCCCTTAATGGATGAAGGAAGACCCACCACAAAGGGAGCATGGGACCCCCAAGGTGTTAGATGATACTAGCCATTCGACTCATCTTTCCCTAACACCCGAGGTTGGAAGAGGGTCTTGAAGACATGTAGAGTTATGTCTTCACCCATGCACACCTCCTTCCATAGGAATAACATTCCTACCAACTAGCTCCATCTGTTGGGTAGAACCTAGGTCGGAGCTAGCGTTCCTCAGCACAGCCCTAAAGAAGGGGTACAGAGGAAGACGCATGCCTACCTTAAACAGGTATTCACTTACTGCCACACATTCGAGCCTCGAAAAGCAGGCACGTTTGTGGGCTTTGGGTAATGGGGTATGCAGTATTTTTCCTCAGTTCCGTTAAGTTTTTTCGAAGTCATGGAAGAAGGTATTTTTGCAGCCCTCCAATCACCTTGTAGTCAATAGGCTTCTCATACATCATACAACTCACTATCTAACCCCCTAAGGTGAACCCTCCTCCCCGATTCTAGTGATTGTAACTAAATCCCTAGCAGCCTCAGAATCCATTATAAAGAAATTTATATAGATTGTAGAAAAAAAGAATTTTGAAATGAAGAATACCTAAACTAAAATGACTCTAACGACGGAGAAAAGTCGAAAAACTCGGATTGCTTGGAACACTTAGAGAAAATCTCATGAAAGTAAAAGTTTGAATATGGTGGTGATCCTGCTTTTATATAAGGCCAAAATGGGTCCCAGCCGTTCAATTGAAGCCCATCCAATCTGAGCCATCAATCTCTGGTTAAATCTGAGAATCCAAAAGGTTTTTTTTCCAATTAACGCCTTACATCAATGCATGCTGCACACGCACCATCTAGAGCCATCATCTTCTAGAATTCCAAACTGCAACCATCATTGTGCATTTAATGCAACAGCCGTATGTGCATTCGAATTTGTAATAATTCGGCAACCTTTTCTTGGTAATGTACACCAACATCAAATCATTGACACAGTTATCAGCAACAAATAATCAACAAACGACCGTTGACAGTTCAGCTTTTTCCTGCCCCAGCTTGAAATAACATTCAGCTTCAATGGGCCTCGGCATTTTGTAAATTTTCTTGCCTTAGCTTCAAACAAAAAATTCAGCAATCACACGACATACAGCCTCAGCGGTTCGACAATGACCTGACTCAACCATAAATTAATTTCAGCAACCAAACACAACGAACTTCGGCAACTCAAAATTTCCTACTCCAGCGCACAGTTAAAAGCAATAACAATGAATTTCAGGTATTCCTCATAACGAAGCAATGTCAATTTTAAACTCCAACTATGATATATACATCTATACTGGACTTGAGGGACTATTATTAGGAGTCCAAAATTCTCAAAATGCAGAAGGAACTAAAAAAACTCTACTCAAATATCGAAGTCCACATATAACATAAATGACTATACTTAGACTTGGGGGACTATTGTTACGTCTCATCACACATGGCTCTACATGGCCGACCCACTGTAGTCCTTGGCCAACCTGACCCAAAACATATGGCGGCCGAGGCCCTTAGGCCTATGGAAGGCAGCTCCAATTAATACCACAACTGAAGCTCGGTACCTTGAAGTCCGAAGTACATTGGCCGAGGTGGTTCACTCCGAGGCCCATGAATCGAAGCTGTGATTTCCAAAGCACCTTCTCTATCACTTCTTCCAAGAGATCCATTCTTTCACAAGTATCTTGTCAAATGATTGATGGGACGTCTATCATAGAGTTTAAGTTTCAAGTTTTGTCAAACAAAATGACAATTCTGTCACTTAATAAATGTAAAGTGGGCTACCAAGTCAAAAGTGATGCCTAGGATTAGATATATGGATCAAGGAGATGAGGCCACGTGTGGTCCCATTCGAGGGCCACAATTTACCTGGTACTACTATAAATACTTCCCCATGTCACCATTGTAAGGCTAATGAAATTTTGAATGCAACATTGAATACAAAAAAATTCACACCATTTTACTCTCTTGTAAAAACAACTAAGTTTACACAGTGTCCATCCTTTACAATTGGTATTTATCGTACAATCGCTTTACAAATTTATCGTCGAATTCCAAACGTTGTCATTCGGTATCTTTAAGCTGCTCCCACACCCTCTCTTAGTCTACTTTGGATCGTCCGTGTGTCCTAGTGTGTTGGATTTGACCTACGTGTGCGCGGGTGAGTCCGATATCTGTTGTCCACTTGACCTCAATCGGAAATGAGGTCAACACTTGGTCTATTGATCAGCGCTATGGCAACTAGCCATTAATCTTTGCCTTTGTAATAGAGCTGACATTGAATATGTAGTAGAAGAGTAGGAACGAATCCAGGATTGGATCTAAGACTGAGCTAAAAAATTTCAGACCAAGCTAATACGCGAAAAAAGAAATTTGCATATAAAAAAATGATTTTTTTTATAAATAATAAAAAAAACCAAAAATACCCTTAAAAAAACTTCTTGGGCTTGAGTGGGGGGACTATAGCCTAGCCCATTCCCCCTAAATCCGTCCCTGAAGAAGGGCAAACAAGCTAGTCCGAATCCAATGAAGAAACTGTAGCTTCCGACAAATTTATTACGATTCCTCACTATTCATAATACGATGCAGTACATCATATGTAAAAATGTTGTCGACGACTTTTTCTTTTTCTGTTCAATTCTATTTCTTCTCCCATAGTAGCATAACTTATATAAATATCTCAATTTTCAACATATTAGATACTTGAATCTCTTCTAAGGTTTTATAATTTGTTATATCTAAATACTCATTAAGAGTATATGCCTCTTTAATGAGACCATCTTTGCTAATTACTCCATTTCGTTTGAAGATTTTTTTTTGTCTCAAAATCAAACATCGTCACGCTTCAGGGGTGATATAGATATATCAAATATAATGCTAATAAATTGTCCTCCTAGGACATCAATTCTTGTTGGAGAATTTAAAGTTGGTGTATGAGGTATTGTTGATTTCTTTGATCAGTAAACGTTTTTCTATTGAGCTTCCTTCATTCCTTTTATCGAACATAATGATGCAAATAGGGCTATCCATCAATGAGGTAGATCAGTAGCTATTCTTCCAATACGAAAAATAACTATGCACCATTCGCATATCGATGGCAACTTTGTATTATGTTCCATAAAGATTTAAATAAGTATGTAATTGTTCATTATTTCCAGTTTCTTAATTCTTCCCCTTAATGCTAAGAGAATTGTCCAATTAAAATTGGCAATCATTTTTTCACTGTTATAAAATATTGCCCATTTGAGATAGTTGTTCAAACGACATACTTATTCTCAGCATTCTTTATTTTCTATCTCAGTGCATTATGGTGTTTAATTTTTACATATTCAGCATTATCATAATATTTAGATTTTAAAATTAGGATCTGACCATAAGCTGATTATAGTATAGAGAATTATAATTTTGGTATGATGTGTAATAGAATTGCCTAAATAAAAATATGAAATACAATGTTCTCAATTGAATTAATTGGAAACGTTTAACAAATAATAGTGTTAAACCATTTATTAACATCCCAACTCACACTTGTCAAAATGTTGAGATTTACACCCGCTAACATTAACAAGATATAGTCTTGATTATATAATCTAAAAATTATGTTCATAATTTAGAATTTGAACGGTAATTTCACAAACTTCAAGTTGCGAACACCATGCAATCATCTAGTAAATGTATCAAATCTATTAGTTAAATAATGTTTAGATGATCAACTAGTGGGTGACGGGGCCCATATATCACCCTAGTTCATTATTAGAAATATAAGGATTTCAATCCCTATTTTAGTTAGTGATGTTTAATAATCAATTGTCGACAAAGATAACAAATGATATATATGAATTCATTCGATCGACAAATCTTTGGGTTCTTCATTAAATATCTATTAAATTTTTTTAATTTCACATTACGATTGATTCAGTGATGGTCCAACTGATCATACCATATAATAAAATCAAATTGAACTTCTGGTTCAATATAAGATACAATTCAATTATTTAATTTCGAATAATATGATTAAAAATTATATAATCATACACAATTCAAGTATTCAAACTAATCAATATTCTCAAGACATTAGTTATATGTTTTCCTTCAAGGCATGAATTCAAAATGATACATTGTTCGAAACATGTGCCACTTTAAAAGCACGTTGTATTTTATTATTGTTCATTCAAAAGTAATATATCAATATTCTTCAGAAATGCTGAAAATTATAGTTCAAGCTCTATAGGAGCAATCAAATATTATTATAATAAATTATACAAGAATATACTCTTTAGTAGTAAAAATATAATTTTTGTTAGATTGCATGTAATTATACTTTTCGAGAGTAAGTAAAATCTAACAAGAATATTAATGAAAGTTATAATGTTCTATTTCGAGATTAGATTATACTTTACTATTGTTTCTTCCAGAAAAACAAATCAATATTTTTCTAAAATATGGAGAAATTTAATGTTATGCTCTTCAAGAGCAGTAACATATTATTGTTTACAATAATAAATTATGTAAGTATTTACTCTTTAAAAGTAAAAATGTAATTTTATGTTAAATCTTATATTATTATACTCTTTGAGAGCAATAAAATCTAACCAGAAGATCAATATTTAAATACGCATGCAGAAGAATGGACACATAAATAAATAGAGTAATTTAATTCATGATTTTACTTTTACCAATCAATATACTTCGGGAATATTGAAATTTGTTTTCCACCTTTGGCTGCTATGTCAGCATTTTCCATCTTTTTCTTGAATTTGAATTCTCACCATATTGGTGAGAATTTGTTTTCTGAGTTACTATAGCCATTTATTTATTTATTTATTTATTTTTTACTTATTATTATTATTATTATTATTATTATTATTATTATTATTATTATTATTTTGCAATGAAAACAAATTCTAAAAATTATTGTAAAAAATTCTATTTCTTTAATTGACAATTTTCATGTAAAATAAAGTCAAACGAATACCAAAAGATAGGTGATTTTTTTTTTGATAATGAAAATAAATTTTATCCCCAATATCAGTAAATTCTATCTTTTTAATAATAATTTTCATATAAAACAAAGTCAAACGAATGCCAAAAAATACTTTCATTTCAACATTTTTCACGTAAAAAATTATACCAATCAAACACAATAATTTACAATTCTTAGAAAAATAATTTTTAGGAAATTCAATTCCCTGAAATTTGTTTTCTTTTCACCCAAATTCCATCTTTTCACCCAATTTTTTTTCCCTTTTGGATTCATTAAGAAAATAGATTTATTTATTTATTTTTATTTTTTGAGTTCTATCCTATTAATTGATAATAAAACTATCTAGTTTTAAAGAGTTCAAGTTGGGGAGAGTATAAAATACACAAAAATCTTATGAAAACTAAGGCCCTAAACTAAAATAATGAACCTTTAAATACCTATTCTAACTAATTTTTATTCATCCAATTGAATATTTCCTAAAAAATATTGCAACCAATTGAATTCTTAAATCTAGACGATTGCTTATTCATAGGCTATTATGAGTTTGAGACAAGACGCTATGGTAAAATTGGCAGACACACTGCTCCTAGGAAGCATTGCTAGAGCATCTCCATTCGAGTGCGAGTGGCGGCATGTCATCTTCTAAAAAAACTAAAGTACAATGATCCACAAGAATTAAAAAAAAAAAAAAAGATCCCCTCGTAGCGAGTATTTTCGGAAAATACTCAATTTTTTAAAAATGGGTCTATATTTCGTATATATTATGAGACAAAATGTACACTATTCATCTATATCTATCCACGTCCACTTAAAAGAATGAGGATTTAGTGTTGTATTTGCTTTCAATTTTTTCTAATTGTGGATCTGCATAAATGGGCGCCATCTTTAATCATGAAATCTTCTCTCTCAAAATTTGACTCTAATGTACATATGTTCCAATCCTGTTTTACCCTTAATATCATTATTGATGGAAAATATTGTGATGTTATTGAACCGAGCTAGGCGTACCGGCCTAGCTCCTACAATTCCCTTACAGGGGTCTCACATAGGATGGGGTCAGGGTTTTTTTCCTTCATTTTTTATTGCAGTGGGACCTGCATGGGAACGACCTATGTCAGGGTCTGTAAGCTTTTCCGATATTATTATATAAGAGGTATTTTTGACAAATTTATTGGTGATTTCCAAGGTAATAATGTTGTCTGTCAAACCATTGTTATCAAACAAAAAGGCAATATGGATTTTTCTCTTGCCATTGACGAACTTACGTATTCTCTTCTTCCCATTTCATAGTCTCGTAAAAGGAAAAAAAAATGAGAAACCCATTTGTCCTAATCCTTACTTCGTTCCCTCATGACTGATGATAAGGAAAATAGCTTGATTTGCATTACGATTATATTCGACTTGCTTAGGAACTTTAGGCCAACGTTAGAGAATGAAGTTGAGCTCGTTTTGGATTCTGTTTGCAAAATACACCAGAATTTTCAGGCAACTGTTAATTGCATTTTCGAGAGTGTCGATCCTAAAAACTGACGAAATTGGAATCTTACAAAAACTCTGAGCTTCTATTGTGTATTATTGTTCAGAGAATTACACTTCTACTGTTACCTTTTCGATTTTCTATTCATGTTTTTATTGACTTTTCCATGTGTGTTCAATAGGTTAAGGAATTTTAACTTGAATTCTTTCGATATCTTTTTTTTTGGTTCAAAAATCCCATGTGTGCTTGATTAAAATGGCGCTTTGTTATATCTCTGCAAAGCATAAATGTATTCATATTACAAATCTTACTAGAACTGCTCGTTTCTTATCCAAAGCTTGTGATTTGGTTTTTGATGCAACAAATTAGGGAAAACGATTCTTAATTGTTGGTACAAAAAATAAAGCAACTGATTCAATAGCGTTGGCTGAGATAAAGGCATGGTGTCATTATGCTAAATAAAATGTGATAGAAATGTTGTAGTTATTGTTGAAGTGCATATTATCTCATGTAAAATAGAGAATAATAAATAAATGTGCCCTTTTACATTTTTATTACATCTCTTTTTCATTTTTCTTTAGGAGGAGAAAAGTGTTAATGATGAAGAAAATTGTGAGTGATAACTTCGGGTTACAAAACATTTATATACAATGATCAACAACCACTAGAGCCTCATTAAAATCTCAATTTGAGAGAATGTTGTATCGAGGATCACATTCATCAGTACCAAAACATGACCTACTCGATGGTTGAGATTGAGTTTGTCGACATCAATCTTCCTGAAAAGATCGACTTAATTAGGACAATTGCAATATAATTTGATCTGCAATTCTAAATCGATAATATTTCGACAAGTATACATCTCTCCTAACAAATTTTGTAATCTAGTGGAATTGTCTATTCCGATAGCCAACATGATAACTCCACCAAAAACTGATTGTTTGAAAAAGGTTTCATCAAAATCACAACTATCTGAAAAGAATCTCACTCTCAAACCAAAAGTAGAGTAAAAGAGAGACGATTAAGAAAAAAGAATAATTTGATTAGACACATAAAAAAGTTAAAACTAAGAAACTAATGCAGTAGTCATATTAAGAAATAGAGACCTGAAGAAAGGAAGAGAAAAAAAATGAAACATCATTAATAGAAAATTTTGAATGCCGTAAAAATTTTGTTGAAATGTGAAAGAAATTACAAGTATAAAACAAATATAGTGTAAAAAGAAAAGACTACATAAGAAATGAAGTTAAGAATAAAAAAATAATAGGGAAGAAAAAAAGTGCATAAAAAAAAGAAAAAAAGAATTGAATTAACAAAATGAAAATTATACAAATAACCTACCTTATCAATATTCTAAAAAAATGAAATTAGAAATTAACAAATAAGAATTGAACACAAAAGGAAATATATAGAAGATATGATTGTACATTACTTGACAATATGAATAATAGAAATCGGACTTTATATGTAGTGTGATTGAAGCTAACAATGAACCTGAGAGGATGAACAAAAGAAGGAAAGGAATAAAATCTTAAAAAAAGTCAAATAGGTAAAGAGAAAAAGAAAGCTAAATAAAAGAAATCAAAAACTTCTACAGAAAAACATGAACAAATCAACTAAAGAAAAAAATGTATTTAGAAACCCTTACCCAATAGAGACCTCAACACTACAATCTTCAATTCCACGAGCTAAATAATATAATCAAGCATTATACACATAAGTAGCAAAATAAAAAATAAAAATTGATCAAACATGTTTAGGTAATTGTAAAACATTTAAATGTAAAATGAAAACTATAAACTACCAACTACAAAGAGAATGATGCGAGATACAAAACTATTGAATGTTCAACATTTCAAGAGTATGCATTTAACTTTCCTTTTCAACAAATAATTACAACTTTATTGCACAAATGTTTGAGTAAGATAAAATATAAAGAAGAATTAATCTTAATTAACACAATACAAACATTATAGAATATTAGTTCTTCCACTCTTAATGCCTAGTGCTAGAATTTATCTGTGTTAACTTACTATATGCTTCGAAAAATACACGTTTTATACAAGAACACATTATTTCCATATTAGATGACACATATTCTATCTCAATTATTTTTTACACTTTCAATCTACTAAATAACTCCAAGGGAGAAAACATTGCATGTGACAATGGTGTGGAACAATAAATTTTATTTTTTTTATTTTTTATTTTTTATTTTTTTACTCCCTTGAAATAAAGGTACTACCATATTTTGCATCAAACTGGATCCATTGATTTAACATTCTGGATGGTCTCTGTAGATTAATTCACATAAATTAACTCAAGTTAAAAAAAAAAAATAGAAATAAATTTTTTTACCACACGCTCTAATATGGTAAAAACTTTTTCATAACACACAGAACTAATATTGTTTGGGAACCAAATTTATTACTTTAATTCTTCCACACTGCATCAATAAAGCACAAAACTATAAAGAAACTTCCCGGAAAAAAAAAATCAGGTCAGAAGATGTTAATAATCTAAACACCCATTAAGCTGGTGAAATGTTGAAGAGCTACACTTACAGTTATGTTTTCTTACAATGCAAGCATTTGCAGATTCGGCAAACCCAATAGATCAAATGGCACTCTCTTAAGAAATTCAGTTTAGTGAAATAATTAGTGATATAAAGCGTAAAAGTTCACTGGAATAGACACTATTATTACTAAAATTCAAAACTGCAAGTTGGTTGAAATTCTCAATGTTCGCTATAATAGACCCCGAGACTTGTTTCCACTTTAGACTCTATCAAGTAAAATTTCTCACGAGCATCAATTCATAAGGAAATGCTCCCATTAAGTGATTGCCTCTAAAATAAGACTCTAAACCAATGTGAAATTACTAGAAATGAAAGGAATAAAACTTGAGCAGTTATTTACACCAAGGGATAGAGAATTCAATTTTTTTAACTTAGCAAAAACCCCAAGGAAATCGCTTGTGAATAAATAAGCCTCAAGATCAATAGCTTGTAAATTAATAGACTGTAAATTAATATATTTCTTTATAAGAATTGAAACATTACTCATTTCCAATTGGGATTTCAAACTGTCAGTAAGCAGCAAAGTAACTAATTTCCTTTCTGCACTTTTCTCTTGTTGTGGCTGACTAAAAGCAATCTATGTAAACCTTGAAATATAGATGATGTATTCTCCATTTCAATATACACATGTACTTGCTCCTGTACATATAATTTAAGAAAACCTATTTTTGAGATTTCCAAATTTGTTGAAAGGTTGATTGATGGATGAGAACATAACTCATCCTCTTTAGTTGCAATATTAACATTTTCTGTTTCATAATTATTAATGTATATTTTTCTTGTCATATATTAAACTTGTTTTCATATTTGTAGGATTGATGTGTCACCAAATAAAAATTCGTGATTATATTTATAAGACAACTAACACATTTGAAGAAGAGTGAATTATAAAAATATTCATATTTCAAAAACGTTCCATTGAGATCTACCACAAATAAGAATGACCATGTTAAAATTTTAAAACTAATTTTGTATTATAAGAAAATAATATATAATTTCAGAATTAATCAATAATTTTCTTATAAAATTTTAACTATTAGACTAATAAGTTAATTTTTTGATATTTTTAGGAAAATAATTTTCAAGCTACATTAAAGACACAATCGAAAAATTCTTTTCGATAAAAATAAAAATAATCTACCCTTACTCAACAATTTCACATTATATACATTATTTCATAAAAAAATTTATTCATTACATATTTAATTTTTCCTTTTAAGAATATCAAATTACTTGAACTACTTCGAAAGATAGTATTAATATTTCAAAAATATTATACACATGAGACGTGCATTCAAATACGTTTGTGATTACTTTGTGATGTAAGTTACCACTGTTAGGGCTACAATTTGTTTAATTAAATCAAATATGTTTTTTGATTACTTCGTGGTATAAGTTAACACTGTTAGGGTCTACTTCCATTTGTAGGGTATTGTTTGAGGGTTTCCAATGCAACCATTAAATAGAGAAACAAAGGAAAGAAGCTTCAGACCAATATATACGAACACAGACGAGAGACAAACAGACATACAATAAAAGAGTACATAGGAAGGATTAACGTTTATAGACCTCTATTATGCGTGACGTAGAACATTCATTTCCTAAACTTGGATTCATCAATGTCAATCCCTTCCTCGGCCATGCGTTCGCCACCGGACTTGTCAGTGGTGCTCAGGCCGCCTTTCCGGCCCATCTCTTGATACCCTTCTCTTCCAATCTGCTCTTTCCTAGTCTGTCCTCCTCGGCTTCCCATTTCCTGGTACCCTTCTGTCCCCAGCTGTTCCCGACGAGTCTGCCCTCCTCGGCTTCTCCCTGCATCAAAAATACCAATACCATTCATCTACAGCAGAAAAACCCCATTAAGCATAAAAATAAAAGATAATACCTTCAGCCAGGTTCTCCTGGGCATCAAGGCTCTTGCCGCCAGTTCCGCCCGGAACCACTGTCTCTCCTTGCCTTGCCCTTGCGTCAAGCTCAGCTCGCTCCTGCTCCGATGCCATTTTTCTCTTCCTTTCTTTGCTGTCTATCAAAATGTTACTAATTTAACAATTTCTCATGCAGCTTGCTAAATCTACTGTGATATATATAGACACAGCTGTAAAAGAAGGTCAAGGACCAAAACGTCGAGAGAACGACACGTGGGTGCTTAGGCAACCTTTATGTTGACACGTGGTGCTGACTCATTTCATGCTGTACCTAGGAGAGCAAATAAGAAGACACGCATCCGCGCAATGAATTTTGCAAAGCGTACGTAAAAAAGGTACACACGTGTTATAAAAAATGATTTGGAATTAAAAAATCTAATAAAAATGTTGATTGTGTATACTGATAAATGATAAAGCGCCGCATGACATTATGTAATCCCTTATTAAATCTCGATATATATGTAACAAAATACTATAAAACTCGCTCATATAAAATAAAGAGTAATTCTATTGTAAATAATAGTATACATAAAGATATGTGTAACAGAAAGAGAGAACATGGAGATACGAAAAAAAGAAATTTAATTATTATAATCTCTCTCTCTCTTTTAAGATTTATGCTATAATTTATATACTATTATGTACATATTATGTACAAATAGAATTACTCTGAAATAAAATTTTAAATAAAATGAACGAACAAATGAGTTTATTGGATTTACAGTTTTTGGATCTTTAAAATAATAATAAATTGGTTCCATATTATTATAGCATATAAGTAGAGTGTTTACCATAGAAAATATTATGCAATAAAGTCAAAAATAATGGAAATTTGGATGGTTCCAAGCCTTTGTCCATATTGCATAATTGGTTAGAAACTTTCAAAAATAGAGCAATTGGTCTCACACTTTTTCATGTTTAATTATTTTAAATCTTGAATAGATTCCGATCAAAACAATTGTTAGCCTGGCATGTGGACTAATTTTTTTTTTTAAGGAAAATTTTAATATGTAGTTCCAACTTTGACGGAAGTAAAATCATGTCCTTTACCAAGGTTCTATTTGCACCAAAAATGAAATGTTCGGAATCATTTACGTCACTTTAAAAGGTTTGGATCAATTATGCAATATGTTCTAAGATTCGGGATCATGTGCACCAATTTCCCTTATATAATAGCCCGAAAGGAATTTCCAAATGTATTAGTTATTGTTGGGTGTCATTATAAGTCTTATAACGTGATTAAAATGAGTGAGATAGTAGTTGTGAATTTTAACTTATTATGTGGTTAAAACTAAAATTTAACTTTGACCTTCAACTTATGGAGAACTTAAAATGAATCTCAAACAAGCGCTCAAATTTATTACTTTTAAGTTAAGATTCAATAGCAAGTTCAAATTCAAATAAATTCTGTAATTAAATGATATAGGGTCAAGTTTTGGAAAAATAATAATAATAATAATAATAATAAATTATTTTCCACATTAATATCAAGTTAGGTTGATTTTATGATTGCATACGTAAATTATTGAAGCTTGCTTTTTGGACAGGCCAAAAAACAAGCCAAAATCCATGTCCAAAAAGCAAGCCAAAATCCAGGGGTGCCATGGATTTTGGCTTGTCCCTGTGGCTTTTTTCTAAATTATTCAAGACAAGAAAATGAAAAAACTTTACCCTTAAAATCGCATATTAACACATGCCCTATCTTTTTAATAGACTAGTTAATGTTGAACGTGCATTGCATGTTATTATAAAACAGTTTACAAGTAGCAGTGCTCTTGTACTCACGAGCTCGTGGCTAATGGGCCAAGCCGAGCTTGGGCTCGTGGACAAGTCTATTTATTTTTTTATTTTTTACAAAAACATAGATAAAATATAAACCCTTTTTTTATCAGGGCTTGGAACTGGCTAATTAAATTTTTAGTAGGTAGAGTTAAAAATTATGCACGAATAACTTATAACGTGTACGATTGTTTTAAAAAAAATTAAAAACAGTATTATAAAATAACAAATTCTTATTAATATGATTAAATTAAATATCACTTACCAATCTACTGTACCGTTGTGGCACACGACAAATTGGAAACTGAAAAATCTATTAGATATGCTATCTAACACATTTTCTAGATCCTAATTTGTCGTACGTCCACACAGAATCAGACCTAATAATTAATTTTGATAATTTTGGAAGATCAACTAGAGAGAGAGAGAGAGAGAGTTGCTGAAAGTTGAATTATGTGAGAAAATGGGTTAAGTGTTGGGGGCATTTAGAGAGAGAGAGAGAGAGAGAGAGAGAGAACGCCCACCAGCCCTCTGCTCATTTCAGATTTTTTTTTTTTAAATAGAAAAATTATAAACGGTAAACCCTACTCCTTTATCCATGCTTGAGACTGATTACTTAAGTTATGAGTAGATAGAATTAAAAATTGTATATGTACACTTGTAATGTGTACAATTTTTTAAAGAAAATTAAAATTAGTATTATAAAATAATATATTAATATGGTTAAATTAAATATCACTTACTTGACGATATGTAATTTTTGCATATTTATCTTGTAGTCCAAAATGAGCGTCCTGTCAATCTTTCATGCATATTAATACTTCCAAAATATCTTATTTTAGTCGGCTCTTGACTTTGGACAAAAGCCTCTTACTTATACTAAAAGCAGACTCCAAGGCTATAGTACTAACTGGAGGTTTCAATAAATTTTATGTAATTGCTGGAATTATTGGCTATCGTTGTTCGTACCGTCGTCAGAATTCAATAACCTCTTCAAAGCTTTTTTTAGTTGTTTTATTTGTAGGCATATTATGATTAAAATAATCAATTATTTCAGCACGCAATGCATTTGCACTTGCTTCCGATGGTTGGTTAGATGAAGAAGACAAAACATTACTAGATGAACCTGTTGCATTTCCATCAGATTCATACATGTTAATGCCTTTAAATAAATTTAATATTTCAGAGTCATCTTTTTCAATTTCAACGGAAGGAGTAGACACAGATGTACTTAACTAATATTTGTACCCATTCGTTCTGCATATAATTCATACATTTTCACATAAAGTTTGTTCTACATTTCTATACGTGATAAGTATATTAAAAGTTAAAGCTCTAGAAATTTAATCAATTACATATTTAGTTCCTGATAAATTATATCGAGGTTTCATGATGTATTTTAAAGGAAATAACATAGATAAATCTTCCCAATAATTCTAAATTTTAATTTCATAAATATATAATTGCATTAAAATTGGGGTCATTTTGTATTTATGAAACGTTCTTCAAGCACCATATAGTTAATGGGATGGTAAACTCCAGATAAAATATTTTTACTATCATAAAAACTTGTCAAATTTTTATTTTTATTTTTAAAGCTAAAAGCTAATCGCATTCATTAAAAATAGTGTCGACATCATTTCTAATATGCCCATTATCATAAAACTTAATTATTAAATGTTTAAAACCTTTGCATGACTTGCGTCGCTAACAAAAGTTTTAGCATTCGTCACCCCAAATTCGTCATAAAATTTCTCAAATGGTTCTTTTCTATTTGGGGAGATCGTCATATATATTAGTGCATTCCTAATTCTTTGTATTTGATCTTTAATATGTTTAAAACCATCTTACGCAATTAAATTTAAAAAATACGGCACACACAACGATATAGAACAAATAACCACCAAAATCAGGTTGCAACACTCTACACAATTTATTGATAATAACTTTATTAACACTAGCGTTGTCAAATATAAAAGAATGAATTTTACTTTCGTAACAATATTCTCTAATAATGGGCATAATCGCATTATATATATTGTTAGTGTTATGGAGGAATTCAATAATTTTAAAAGCAATACTATTTTATGTATACATCAAAGTGAGTTTGTGTAGTGTGATATTATAGCTATATAAGCGCTTTTATTAATCCCCTCCCATATATCCGAAGTTAAAGATATAACCACCCCATATTTTTGCAAATCCAAAATCAATTGCCGTTGTATTTGAAAAAAATATTCTATAGTATCTGAACGAAAAGTATTTTGATTTATCCCAACGTACTTTAGTTGAAGATATTCTTTTACGTATGAGACGAAATGTTAGTTGTTCGCGATTACAAGAGGCAACTCAGCACCAACAACAAATTTCACCATTCCCGTTTGATCATTTTCCTCTAGATACATCCACGTGGTGAAGGGGGAAGTCGTAGGACTGGCACCTGGGTTACCAAATTGCAATTCTGTTTGACCGATTCGAAGAAGTCTATATTTGGCCGTACACGCTTTGTAGTGATGGTTGAGGTGGGTGGTATCAATGCATTTTTGCTATGCCAATCGTTGTTTGCAGTATTTACATATTGTTTTGAATTTTGGGTCTCCATCTATAACACATAGTGATGTCAATGGGCCGAATTGAGCTGGCTCGGCTCTTAACCTTACGAACTCGGCTCGCGCTCATGGCGAGCTGAGCTCGTGGCTCGTTGATTTTGGGTGAGCTCGACTCGGCCCACGAGCTCGTGGCTCGTCCAAGCTCGTGACTCGTCTGAGCTTGTGGACTGAGCCGAGCTTTAGCTTGCGACCTCGTCATTTTTTTTAAATAGAAAAAACACAAATAATGTAATGAAAACACTTTTAAAAAAAATAGAAAGTGTTAAAAAATACAAATAATTTAATGAAGACACTTTTTTCTTTTTTTATTTCTATCATATTGTAATATTTTTATAAAGTATAAAATATTTATGTAATGAAAACGAACTATTTTTTGAAATACATTTACAAAAAAATACATTTTTCAATTTCTTTTTAAAGTAGATAAAATTTAAACCCTCATCTTTTATCCGAGTTTGGGACCGACTACATCAATTTTAAGTATGCGGAGTTAAAAATTGTACACGAACAACTTGTTGTAATGTGTACAATTTTTTAAAGGAAATTAAATTTAACGATTAAAAACTAAGGAAATTTTGATTAATATAATTAAACCAAATATCACTTACCAAACGACATGTAATTTCAGCGTATTTATCTTGTAGTCGAAAATGAGCGTCCTACCAATCCTTCACGCACATTAACGCTTCCAAAACATCTTCTTTCAGTCGGTTCTTGACATCGATCAA